AGTGCCGCCAGTTCCTGCTGCTCGCAATGGTCGTCGAGCCCCGCGTGAGCGTCCTCCGCCTGTCCCTGGCACACACTATATGACTCTGCGTCCTTCCACTGCTCCACAGCGTGTCCCTCTGCCGTCTCCTCCTGCGTCCTCTCTTCCTGCTCTTGCTGACCCGGAGTCTGACTCCCTTCGTGCTGCTAGTCCTACTGTCACGCGTCTTCTGGCTACTGTTGTCACTGACCCTTCCTTTGAGTCTACTGCTGCGTCTGCCTTAGTTGCTGAGCTTGTCGACTTTGCTGCTCGCTGTCGTCTAGACTACGCCGCTAGCCTTGTTGCTGAGTCTGAGTCTGTCTGTCCTCCGTCCGTCGGGGGTGAGTGTGCTCTTGGCACGGACGTCCTTGACGACAGGCAGGAGGAGTTTGAGTGCTTTGCCGCTCCTTTGCCTCACCTCGTGTCCATGCTAGTTGCCCCTGAGGGAGACCCGGATGCCCCAGACATCCCGACCCCGCGCTCTTACGCTGAGGCGATGGCGGGTCCCTACTCCTCTCAGTGGCAGACAGCCATGGACGCAGAGATGGCTTCCTAGAAGTCCACAGGCACCTACGTCGACGAGGTTCCCCCACCTGGGGCGAACATCGTCAGTGGCATGTGGATTTTCAGGGTGAAGCGGCCGCCGGGTTCTCCGCCTGTCTTCAAGGCGCGTTACGTTGCACGAGGCTTCAGTCAGCGAGAGGGAGTTGACTTCTTCCAGACCTTCTCCCCGACCCCGAAGATGACCACTCTTCGGGTTCTGCTGCACGTCGCCGCTCAGCGTGACTACGAGCTCCACTCTCTTGACTTCAGCACTGCTTTCCTACAGGGCAGTCGGCACGAGGAGATCTGGCTGCGCCGTCCACCTGGCTTCACTGGGTCGTTCCCTCCTGGTACCTAGTGGAGCCTCCGGCGGCCAGTCTACGGTCTCCGCCAGGCGCCACGTGAGTGGCATGACACACTGAGGACTACACTTGCGGCTCTTGGGTTCACTCCTTCTACTGCTGACCCGTCGCTGTTTCTACGCACCGACACCTCGCTGCCGCCGTTCTACATCCTCGTGTACGTCGACGACTTGGTCTTTGCCACTGCTGACACTACGGCACTCGCCCACGTGAAGTCGGAGCTGCAGAAGAAACACACGTGCACAGACCTGGGTGAACTGACGAGCTATCTTGGCTTGCGGATCACCCGGGACAGAGCACGGCGCACCATCACCTTGACTCAGTCACACATGGTGTAGCAGGTCCTTCAGTGCTTCGGCTTCACCTGGTCCTCAGCAAAGGCCTTTCCTCTGGCTATAGGGCACTCGCTCTCAGCTCTGCCTTCCCACGGTCGTCTCAGGGTTACACCTTCAGTCTTGGCTCTGGTTCAGTTTCTTGGCGTTCTACACGCTCTTCTTCTGTTCTCAGCTCCAGTTGTGAGGCTGAGATCTACGCCACAGCCATGGCGGCCCAGGAGCTACGCTGGCTCACCTACCTGCTGACTGACTCGGGAAAGGTGCCTCGTTCTCTTCCAGTGCTGTACGTCGACAACAAGGCTGCCATTGCCTTGTGTCAGGAGCACAGACTGGAGCACAGAACAAAGCACATCGCTCTGCGCTACTTCCTTGCTCGAGAGCTGCAGCAGCGTGGTCAGCTTCGTCTGCGTTACATGGCCACTCAAGCCAACACTGCTGACGTGTTCACCAAGGCGCTTCAGCCTTGTAACCATCAGCGCTTCTGTACTCTTCTAGGCCTTGTGCCTGCTGGACCTCACTTGCTTACTTCTTGACTTTGCTTGTACTGTGATCCCTATATATATACCTGCATGCTTTCACTTGCTAGGTTGTGATCATTTTACCTCTTGCCATATTATCAAACTGCATGTGAACTGGTCTTGTGACCACTTGCTTGTGCTCGGAATTTGTGTGGTATCCCTTGAGATCCACCCTGAGCTTGCTTGTGCTTTGCTTTGCTCTGACTGGTCTTGTGACCCCTTGTTCTCCCCCACTTTGCCTATGGGGGTGTGTCAAACATTATATATGTTGTGGTTGTTTAGGCTACAGTGGGTTAGCCTTTAGGGGGTACACAATTCTAGGGTTAGGTACTTGTACTCATTTCACTGCTAGTTCATTCATTCCTGTCCGTTCATTCTGACACTTACCTCAACCAGTTCAGCAATCTGAATATAATTTCTGGATCTACTCTTCAAGGGCTTGTTTACGATACCAACATTGTGTTCAACCAGAGAACATCGGTTAGTCGTAACGTCACTTGAGAAGATCTGTTTTTTTTCAGGTTATAACGCTGCTTTCAAGCTTAAGACATAGAGTTACTCCAAGGAAGCTTCAATGGTCGAGTTCATTTTAAACCGTCACCCAAAATGGGACCTGAGAATCAAGATGTTTTCACGAAAAGTCAAATACTGCAAGTAGAAGGAAGCTGGACTTCGAAATATTTTCAGATTATCAGTTTTTGCTGCAATCTATCAACAACCAGCGAAGAGGAAGAAAGCTCGGAAGCAAGCGTCAGACATTGATCAATCGGTTTCACAGGCTAAGATCATGGCTGGATCGATTTCAAGTCGTCACCCAAGATGGCATCGAGTGGTATTCTCATCCTCTGGAAAACGCGAGAAGTATCTTTCCAAGGAACCAGAGCAACGACATTTGACAAGTTTTGCTGCCAATCAGCGACAACAACCAAAGCTAAATAAGGATAGCCAACCACTGACACGATCGTCCAAATCGGCTTCACAATCTATCTTCCAGGAAGCGAGTGTTATGATATCTACAGATCGTGAAGACTTTCCTACATTCAGCATGACTGCGGAAATGATTGGAGATGCGACATTTTTTTTCATTAAATGACCAAAAGGCTCACGAAGTGGATTCGAGCTCCGCTCGGAAGTTGTTGGAAACTACGCTGCAAGAAGAATATTTGCAACTAGAAGATATTGACTTCGGTTCTTTGACAGCTCATCGTTACCATGGATTAGAAGGCAAGAATGAAGAAGGTTCTACGCAATTTCATGACATTAATCCATGGCGTCACGGGTTGGTAATGCTGGAGTTAAGAGGAAAGTGGTGTTGCAATCAGAACAGGTGCAGAAGCTGTGGGAACTTTCATTCGTCGTCATCATCGGAAGCTATGGAAAGCTGCTGCATCACCAGCCCAGAGGGTTCACCCAACCAAGTTTGTGGACAAAACCGCTCCTCACCGCTCTCATAACAATGCAACCTTCAAGGCAACCAGATCTCTTCAAATCAGTGTTGAAGTGATTCAGCGGGGCACGAAACAGGCCAGCACTGTTGCTAGAGTATTCCCAAGCGGGCAGGATGAAATTTTCAGGCGACTGGTTTATAAACGACCGTAGAGGCTACCGCGGGGGTACAGTATGCTATACCTAGGCCCTCTAGCCCGGTTACGACCGACGGTGTTTTTGCGTTGTACGTTGTATAATGCACTTTCACCTACCAAAAAAAAAATCGTTTTCATTGTATTTCCTATATAACTCGATGTATGCGCTGCTATTATCATCTCAGTCATCTTATATTCACTCTAACCTGAAGTCAACACTTCCGCTGCAATTCTACCAGCGAACAACCTTGAGCAAATCCTTGGCTAAGTCCTATTTAGGATTGTAACAAAACTAAGCAGACCTCGTTATGCTACTTCTCCGTGCATGATGAAATCGAGCAAGGCAGGTTACAGCTCGCATGCTGTATTACGTTTGCATGAGTTACATGTACTAGGACAAACGGTTTCGTGATTGTTCGCGTGACAGAATGAAAGTACCACTTTATAGAGTAGTAGACTCGATACTCGACCTGTTTAGTGAAGAAGTACATCACCGAATATGTACTTTGCAAAGCTAAATATTTCTTGTACCATATGAAATATGAACAATTTCTAAGCGTTTATCGCTTTCAAATTTGTGTATTGTGAAAGCGAAGATGACTATAATGCAATTTTGTGCATCGTTGAAGCACGCTATTCGCCTTCTCCGAATATATAATGTGGGTTGGGGGCCATTCTTCCCCACCCACGTCTCTCATTTTTACAATCGCTCAAGTTCAATTCCCAGTTCCGAGACCCATCCCGAATTTTTCGGAGTTTCCGACTCCCTCTTGATTTTTTTTGGATCTCAACATGGCGAGGGTGAAAACCCTTCCACGTTTTCATTCACTCTCCATGTTGTTGTCGGACATTCTTGAGTACAGTCAAGTTTCCATGGCGCCGAACGACAACGCTCCGAATCGTTCGGACAACGAGAAGAACGCCCGTGAAATTTCGGGCGATCGCCGCAACAAGCGACGGGCGGATGACGAGGGTATCGCGCCCACTGGCGTCGAAATTTTGACGCACAGTGGCGAAGTCAACAAAACCGCCAAACAGCACCCCTTGGCACCTTTGACAGCAGCACCTGCAACACCTGTGGCGCCACAGGCGCCTGACGCCGAGCACGCGCCAGCACCTGTGGCCGGACCGTCGCGTCAGCGCCAGAGAGAGTAAGAGAGAGAGAGAGAGAGAGAGAGAGAGAGAGAGAGAGAGAGAGAGAGAGAGAGAGAGAGAGAGAGAGAGAGAGAGAGAGAGAGAGTTAGTTTTGTTTACTCCCCAAAATCGGCGGCTTGCGCCAGGAGAGAGAGAGAGAGAGAGTTAGTACTTAGCCGTTTTCAGCCTTGTCTTCCTAGTATATAACCCCTAGTTCCTTGCACATGGGGCTCATTCTTCACTGGTGAGTTTAGTTTACTCCCCAAAACCGGCGCCTCGCGCCGGCCGCCTTCGGCGGCCGCCGCTCGCCGGCGCGGCCTACGGCCGCGCGTGAGGGGTGACAAGGAAGAGCAACAAACATAACTCCAGGTGGCGATACAACATGCATCTATAGGCAAGGAGCAAACAAGGCAACACCCCCTGGCACAACCACACGGCCATGGGGAAGCCCAAGCCCAAGCCGAGGATGAAGCAAGCGGGCAAGGGGAGTAGTACTGCTACTCAGCAATGATCCAAGCTAATCGCCCGTCCATCCAGCGTAGCACGGACGCTGCGGCTGGCACGACGTCGAGAGGAGCCTGCAAAGCGGCAAGAACCAGCCGCCGCAAAGCAGCGGGCCCAGGCCCCAAGGCAGATCCGGGGAGCCAGGCACGAGCCCGATCTCAGGCAACATGCGCAGTACCTGCATCGCCGCTGCCACCGCCTCCGTCTGTTCTTGCTGCGACATCACCAGGGGCGCAAGACCAGGAGGCCGCTGACGACGCTGACAAGCGCTCAGCTGATCCAAAACGTCCGCCACCAGTGACAAACATGTCCCCACGTTCGACACGCGCCGCTCGACGCGAAGAGCACGCTCGACGGGGGGGAATGCTCCCACATGCTCCATCGTTGCTGCAGAGCCTGTCCACGAGGAGTGCCCCCCACGGCGGGAGACAACCGCTCCCAGGGGAACGGATCATGCTGCTGGCGAAGACATGGAGATGAGGGAGCAGGCGGCGCCTGATATGCTGGCGGAGGCTGGGACGGTGGACCAGAGACGTGAGGATCTCGCGGCAGGGGGAACGCTGTGGGAGGGGGCACCAGGGGTTGTGGGCAGGGGGGCTGAGAGGGAGGCTGCGGCTGATCCACCGGCTGGGGGTGAGGCGGCAAAGGAGACTGTTGCACCTGCGGGGGGCGAAGCGGCAGAGGAGACTGCTGCACCTGCGGGGGGTGAGGCGGCAGAGGAGATTGTTGCGGTGTTGCCTGCTGACACCGCCGACGATTACGCCCGGGATTCTGCCGAGGCTGAGGAGGCGCGGGGCCCGTGGCTGACGGGGTGCACGGCGGTATGGGTGTGCTCTCGCGTGAAGGGATCGATATTGAGCTGGACGTCGCCGCCTCGCGCCCGTCTCGCGGTCGTCGCCCTCGGCCAGCACCGCGACGGTTCGGAGCAGCGCTGGCACCCGCCCAGCCCGGCCCCCTCCACGGGTGGCTCCGGCAAGAGCAGTCGCCACAACAGCAAGCGCCTCGTCCGCCATTAGCGAGTGCACCACCAGCAGTGGAGGAAGCAATGGCGACAACGCAGAGGGCGCAACGTCGCGAACGGCAGGCCAGACGGGAGAGAGGGGAGCCGGCACCGACAGCACCGCAGCCAGATCCGGGTCCGGCACGCGCGACCAATCGGATCCGGTGGGTGGCGCCGGTTCCACCGTTGGTCCCAGCAGGCAGAGGCGTGGGAAGGGACGGAGCGACAGCCAGGGGGAGACGCCGCGGTGCCAGGGCGCGTGCCTCGCCAGAACCAGTGAAAACGGGGAGCTGGAGGGAGCGCCACGGGCGGATGGGACCAAGCCCCGCGGAACAAGTGGGGGAGGATGCGGATGCTGAGGACTCAGGCACTGAAGCGCCCTTTATCCCCTCGCCTACCCCATCCTCCGAGAATATTGAGCTCAATCCCGAGCATCCTAGCCAGATCCGGAGTGATCGCCGTCGGCGCAGCCACACCAACCTAGCAAATAGGGACGAGGTGACGGGTTAACAGGGTGAGAACCGGGCAGGGGTGGCAGGACAGCAGGACGTCCGTTCGCCGAACGATCTGGCTGTCACGGAATCGCTTTGGGCAGGAACGGACACGTGGAACATTGCGCTACTAACACGAGGCGACCAACCATTTGTCGCCAGAAGACTCCCACCTGACGTGCTGGCGAACTACTCGCTCTGCCTCCTAAACTACTCACCAAGAATATCCAAACTGTCCCAAGGGCTGGCGAGTGCTCATGTTTTTACCACGGCTCACACTCCGCCCTCAGTCTCAGGAGTCCTTGGGGAATCGGTGGGCCGAAATCGAAGCGCGACTACACAAATTCAGGTTGGGGGAGTGGGACAACCTGTACAACGAGGCGATCACGATCGCCAGATGCCAGGAGCCTATCAGACATCAGCCAGACGCAACAGGGCTGTGTTCGAGGGCTGAGGGCCTCGTTCGGAAAGGCAACTTGTCGAAAGCAGTAGCAGCGTTACAAACCACCCGGCTGGCGTAAGCGACATCCGAGACAGTCTCGGCTCTGCAGGCAAATCACCCAATGGCGACGTTACCACTTCCCTACTGGGTAACAGGGGAGCAAAATTCCGAACTATCTGTGAGCTAGGAGAACCTTCGCAGCATCCTCATGAAATGTCCAGGTGGGGTTGGCGCAGGCCCATCAGGAACCTGCTTTGAACATCTGCGGGATCCAGCATTGGGGAATGAGGAAGTGTTGACGCTGTTGCGTGGAATCATCAACCACCTGTTGGGCAACTTCCTTTCTCAGAATGTACGAGATGTGCCGCTTCCATCCCGACTGATAGCACTTGAGAAACCAGGCGGGGGTGTTTGTCCTATCGCTATTGGAGAAACTATTCTACGCATAGCAGCTAAGGCGGCGCTGTGCGAGTTAGGGTCGGCGATTCGAACATTCTTCCTGCCGGTGCAATTCGGCGTGGCAGTGCAAGGAGGCGCAGAATGTATTATCCACTCCGTCAGAGCGCTGCTTGAGGAAGATAGTAGTCGTGTGGCGCTGCAAATTGACGTAGAGAACGCCTTTAACAGCGTAGAACGTGCCGCCTTCTTGTACGCTATTCAGTGGTCCCCACTCAATCCGCTAATTCCCTTTGTCCGGACTCTCTATGACGGCCCGTCGCCGCTGCTGTTAGACGTAGCGTTCGGCAACGAGAGCATAAGCAGTACCAGAGGGGTCCGCCAAGGAGATCCCTTAGGCCCACTCCTTTTCGCGGCTTCCATACAGCCGGCCCTCCTTCACGTGGCCATGACGTACTCGGACGTAACAATAGTTGCCTACGCCGACGACATCACGGTGGTTGGCCCGTCGGAGACGTCGACACTAGCGTTTAACCTCCTCACTGATAGGCTCCCGCGTTGCGGACTCAGCTGCAACTACAGCAAGTCGACGGCGTGGGGCCCGGAACTGGATCCTGATCATACCCCTCTACCGAAAGGCATCACGGCAGCGGCGGACGGGATTAGGGTGTTGGTAAGCCCGATAGGAACGCCAGATTGGGCAGCGACTTTCTTACGGCAGAGCTTGAACTACGGCGGCTCCGTGTGACCTCATCAGCCAGCTGCACCCCCAACTACTGCCGCTGACAGAATGGAGAGGCTGGAGTGAAGGTTTGTTTCGGACAGCCTTGGAGGCGGCCAAACTGCACAGGCCATCGATCAAACTCGAGCAGAGTCTTGCGTGGCTTCAAGCAAGCCTCCCCGTCAGACTAGGGGGGCTAGGCCTTGTAGATACAGTGTCAGAGGCACCAGCGGCGTACCTGTCCTCGGTTGCGGTATCACAGCAGCTACTACAGCAACTGGACGCCCCCAGAGACAACTTTATCGCCAGAGTTGCATCGCTTCTGTCCCCTAACCACGACGGAAGCCAGGGGGAGGTCTCGACTCTGAGGGAACTGGAAGAGCGCTTACCTGAACAGGCACGGCTGGTCCTGAACGACTACCGCACTAATCTGAACAGCCAGCAACACCTACAGCTGCTACTGTCTTCCCATATCAACAAGGCGAGGGCGGGGGAGCTGTTGGCAGATACCAGGATTGACAGGCCAGGGGTTGACAACGGGCACCTGGTGCGGCTACTAAGTCTACAAGGGACAGGGGCGGGGGATCGGCTGAACACAATCCCCACCCGTTCAGATCTTACACTCTCCCCCGGGCAGTTTTCTATGGCGCTGGGTTTGCGCTTAGGCCTTGCCTTACCTGTTACAGAGCAGTGCCCGTGCAACCAGGAACGGTCCGCCATCGCCGACAAAAGCCTACCCAATCACCTTCTCCGCTGTGCCGAGGGTGGAGACCGAACACGGACGCACAACGCACTGGTCTACGCATGTCTACGGATGGCTACTAGGGCAAAGTACATGACGCTACATGAGACGACCGTCTACTCCCCACCGGCTGACAGGAAACGGGCTGACCTTGCAATCCGAGATGGCGAAACTGCAGAAACGTGGATTACGGATGTTACTGTTACGGATCGGGTCTTACAGAGGCGAGACCAAAAAGGGAGGCGGAGCCCGGGGTGGGCGGCAAAGGAGGCCAGCATAGGAAAGCACAAACTGTACGAGGTACGGCCTTCATACGTGGGGTTCCTGGGGCTGGCCGTGGAGACCTACGGGGCGCTAGCAGCTGACACAGTCCGTTTCTTCCGCCTGCTGGCCACGAACGCTGCTAAGAGAAACTTTAGGCACGACCCACGCACGACTGTGGCGGCAAGGCTCAACGCGCATTACCGCCAACAGTGGTCGGTGATGCTGCAGCGTTGCCAAGCGACAGCCCTACTGACGAAGTCCAATCGGGCCGCGGAGGCAGCATCACCACAGGCCCCCACAGACCCTTGGGAGCCTAGGCTCGGGGACCTCTGGCAGGTCCTCGAGGACGGGGTGATTGGTTAAGGTGCTACGGGAGGGGGGGTGTTTGCACTATGGCACGCTAGAACGGTTAGTCAAGGCTGGGAGCCGTACCAAGAATGAGTCTCGCACCTCCCACTTCCAGGACGAGTGTCTAGGGCTGCCACAGTGTGTTATCTCTGCCTTGCTCTGATGCCCTTGACCAATGCCTCACAACCCAGCTTGCCTTGCCTAGAATGTCCTGGTCTTATTGCTTGCCATGCTTGTACCTCTATATAAGTCAATGAAGGACTGCTTGAGAGAGAGAGAGAGAGAGAGAGAGAGAGAGAGAGAGAGAGAGAGAGAGAGAGAGAGAGAGAGAGAGAGAGAGAGAGAGAGAGAGAGAGAGAGAGAGAGAGAGAGAGAGAGGGTGGAGAAATGGAACCACCGATTGGGGGAAGTACCACCAATGGTAGTGAGCTAGACTACGGGGGTTGGCACGAACTACTAGGAGTGATCGTAACTTTGCGTGGTTGCTTAGTGCTTGCACATTCACGGGAGAAATTGGCAAGAGTTTCCACTAGCAAAGTTGGAATTACAGAATAAGACATTGAATAAGCAATGACAACAATGACTACATCAGGCACCTAGCAACCCTGCAGCTAGCCTGGTCGACCGCCAGCACAGCTTGGTCGACCGCCTGCCAGCGTTGCGTAGAGGAGCCGCGCCAGCACTGCAAGTCGACGGCGTGCCAACGCTGCAGTAGTGTAGCTGTCCAGCGTTTTCCCGTAGAAGACAGCAGTGCGCACGCTCGCAGGTGCACGCAGACGATTGGTCCGACTTGCATTGCTGTGCATTCATCGGTTGTTGTCTGCGCCTGACGAGCCACATCGACTTCGGGATACCAGCCCAAAGTCGCCTTCGCCATCGCGGCCTCGACGACGTTCGCGTGCCTCCGCAGAACTCGTCGAGCAGGTTACCTGGTCGACCTGGACACCATCAATGCCTCTGGTCGACCACCAGGTGCCCCTGGTCGACCACAGCTCCCGTCGAGCTACCCCCTGGTCGACGGACCCCTTCCGGCGACCAGAACTGTCAGCGGTTGTCGCCGAGCTCCCCTCGTCGACCGCTGCTCACTTGTCAGGTCGACGGCTGCTCCGTCGACCTCCCCGGTCGAACTGTAGATTGACCGGCAGCTTTGTCGACCTCCCGGTCGAACTGTCCCTTCTGGTCGACGGCTCACCCGTCGCCCAGACTAGTCCGTTGCAGCTGTCGAGCTCCCTGGTCGACAGCAACACTACAGCGATCCCCTGCAACTCGACGAAGCCTGTCGAGCAGCTCTCCCACTGTGAACGGTCGGCTGCTACTCCCGTACCTCCGACCAAGTTGTCGGCGTTGCCCAAGCGAGGGCGGGGCCAACACCTCATACCCGTTAACAATCCTCTGCCGCGCTCACGCTTGGGCCCCCCGAGCCCACACGGTAGTACTTTACAGAGAAAACTCGTCCTCGGCGTGCACCCCACACACAGCACGCCGTCACCGCACCAGCCATGCAGAAGAGCACGGCACCTATTGCTGCACCTCATCGTCGCCGTCACCGACGTTGGCCAGACAAACTTGGCCGATGGCAATAGAGCACCGGTTGAAAGCCAGAAAGTGCAGT